GGACTATTTTCTCCTTCACTGAAGCTATCTTCAAATTGAAATACCCCATCACCATCTCCAACTCCATCATTATTCCAGCTTTTCCTTTGTGGATTGTCAACAGCTTCTTTTTGTTAGCATTCTGTGGTTCTGGGTATTTTGTGTGAAGGTCCTTGAATCATATAGTTGGAAGGACCCTAGGAAGCCATTGAGTCCAACTCCCTTCCCAATGCAGGGCTCAAGTCACCCATCCAAACACTAACCAGCCTGACCGTACTTAGCTTCAGAGGTCAGAGAGGATCAAGCACTTCAGGCTACATGAACCCACCTCGGGTTGGCCTACGCTGACATCATTTGGGGCTCTTTGGTGTTGCCTTGCCTAAGTCCAGATATGCAGCATACTGGTGGTTCAGTGAACCATTCCAGAGCAGACTTCAGGATGGGGATCAAGGGTTTGCAGCAACAACAACAACAAGATCCCTGCAAGGAGAAAACCAGCACAGAGGAAAAGGGTTGGATTAACCTGCTTCTCCTTGAGGTGCTGCATTTCTGTTTGCAGGGTTTAAAACAGTCAAACATTTGCTACAGGTAGGGATGTACCATCAGTCCTGTCCAATTGCTGCATCATTCTGCAATTATTTAAGATCACTTGAAAATCCACATTAATGTTCACAGGCAACTTTCTCTCATCTTTGCATTTTTCTACATCTCTTTCCCCAATTTCCCCAATTTCCCGCATTTTGGTGTGCAATTTTTGAGCACTGCAACATTCTGAGAAGTGCAGATAAATGTTTTCCAATCTGCACTAGTACAGGAAATACAGTCTGGGCAGGTTCACTGAAAACTGCAAACCAAGCAAAATCCTCCAGCCTCTCAGGTCCGGAATCAGATCAAGTACCTTTTCTGCACCCACAGAAACAAATAAAGAAGAAATGGTATGTGGCGTGGTTAAGAAGCACTGAAAGAGTCAAAAGAAGCCTTCAAAATGGCTGCTGTGGGTACCATTTTGTTTTAATTATTTGGGGGGGTATGATTTGGGGGTGCAGTGGGTGCCACATGCAGCTTGCAGCCCACATCTTGCCCACCTCGAAGATGCAGGCTGAAGGGAAGTTCCATCCAAAACAAGCTTCAGCCGTGCAACGATCAACTCGATGTTCACATCTCACGTCAGCCAACCGAATCCGTTAATGGCAACACGCACGTGTGTCGAAACGGAGTGTGCGATTTCTGGATCCAGCCTGCCATTGCTTGTTCTCTTAACATGGATGGGCTCATGCCATGAAGAAGGGCTGTGAGGTCGCCCACGGAGTATTACAGCTCAGCCACATGGATGGGAGGAGCCCGGCCTTCCTTTAAACACACAGATGTGATGGATTTAGTTTTTCAGTGGCCAACGAACAAGCAAGTCTACCATTAAAACAGACAGAGGGGCCAGCCCTGTTTTGGTGTCTGGATGTCAACATTTCCCCCAGCAACAAGCTACTAATTTTCTGGGAACGTCATGACGCTACTTGCTGGGCGAGGCTGAGTTTCCTATTTTCCGTTTGTCCTTCTGCTGGCAGGCAAAGGGATTTTTTTATCTGGGCAGAATGATCCTTGGGGCGCCCAGGTATGCAGGTCACACATCACCGTGTGCCTGCAAAGGGATTAAACTCCATAGCAGGTGCAACTTGAGTGCCTGCTCTCTCCGGACGGGTTAAATTCTGCTTTGGCCAACAGGTTGCTTGCTACTGCCATATGAAGCTGCAAAGCCCTTTCTAGAAAGGGCTGTCTAAAGACTGTCCGCTGGAACCTCACGGCTGAGGGCGTTTCTCCCTTTGAGAGTTTTTCCTCTGCCCAAAGAAAAGCCCAGAGAAGTCCCTTTATTAAGAGTGTGCAATCTTGAACAGAACAATTAGATCTCTTTGGCAGCTCAATCTTGTTCTTTTGGGCAATTGGGAGCAAAGGAGACAGCCTTCACGGCGGCCTGGATGAACGCTGCCCAGCTGTTCTGCCGGAGAGGAGGCTCAATAGGAATCTTTCATTTCAAGCTTGTTCTTCCTGGGGATTTAAAGACTGGAACTCTGTTTTATTATATTGCAATTTCTATTGAGGTATTAGGAAAGAACTGATTGCACCTTTATTGTTTAAGTTTCCTGGCAAAGACCATTTGTTTTATGTATCTTCCTGTTGAGCTGACCTGACACCGTTCTTGTTACTGGAAAATGTGCTAAGTATTTTTATCTATTTATTTTTTCTGCAGTTCTTAAGCTGGGAGCTTGGTCAACCTGGTTTTAATTTGTCCGGCATGGAGGATGCACAATTCTATACATCCTTGTATACATTTTTTTTTCTCTCTAGGTGTTTTTCAGCTTGGCCATGGACTGCAATGAACTGATTTAGCTTTGGACTGGCCTGTTTTTTGGTTGTTTGTTTTCAATTGCTTGTTGTTTTTTATTTATTTATAGCATATTTGTTTTTCTGCCCCGTTCTAATTAAGATTTAGTTTTTAGTATAGAGGTTATGGGTAGCCACCTTAAGTGTCCGCTTTGGCCAACGGCAAAATCTTTGCATTAGAATCTTTGCATGATGGATGCTGTCCGTGGTGGAAACTTGAGTCTGGCAACATCTGTAAAGCCCAAGTTGGGAAAACGTGGGGTGCCACATCCAAGTTAGAATGGCTGGAGGGGTGCACCTAGGCTGAGCTCCAGAAGAGCATCCAGCAGTGCGCAGCACTAAGTTAACTGATCAATAGAAACAGAGAAACAGAGCGAGTCAGAAGGGGTCTCCTGGGCCATCTAGTCTGACCCCTGGCTCCAGCCAGCTCCACTCATGACATACCCACCATGTGCACGTCCAGCCTTTCCTTGAACACCCTCAGTGATGGGGCCTCAACCACCTTCCATGGAAGCCCATTCTATACTCTAGGGGTCCTAACCGTCAGGAAGTACTTCCTGGCATCCAAATGGAACCTCGGTTCCCTGAGCTTTGCTCCTTTGGAGCGCATCCTGCCTTCCTCTCACCGCAGGGGAAAAAGATCATGACCCACCTCTGCGTGGCATCCCCTCACGTACCTGCATGTCGCTAACAGGTCCCCTCTGAGTCTCCTCCTCTCCAGACTGAAAAGACCCAGCTCCCTCAGTCTCACCTCATCTGGCTCACCCAACAAACCAGCCACCATCCTCGTGGCCCTTCGCTGCACCGATTCCAACTTGCGATATCCCTCTTGTAACGAGGGGCCCAGACCTGCACACAATACTCCAGCTGTGGGTACACCAGGGTCATATAGCATAGCCCCAGTATTACGCAAAGGCACGCTCCGACACGGCTGGTGAGACGGAATGCCTGTTTTCCCAGGTTGGGTGTATGTGCCACATCCACCCTGGAAGGCAGGATTCAGTTCAAGTGAGCCGTAAATCTTAAAGCTTCTTCCTTCATAGTTGCTTCCTCATTACCACAAAAGATGCAAACTGCAGATGTTGCTTCTCCTCAGACGCCTGAGGTACGACTCCAGATTCCCATCCCATTTGCACCCACAGTGGAATCAGAACTTCCTCCTATTGTCCACACTTCGTGTCCCATAGCCCCTAATTGACGTATGTCTCATTGCTCCGTTGTTTCAAGCAAAGGTATGAGATTTCCATGGCCCCAGTGTTTCTTAGACTAAAATATGGACAGCGGCCAGAGATGGTTCTGTCCATAAAATCAAATCTCTTTGACTATTCGTTATTTTTTATCAATTCAGCGCGTTAAAAGAAAGATTTTTAAATAGTCATTCGTATAATATGATATTATTATTTTGGTGTCAACGCCTTTTTATTGAAATCAACCGTTTGGATTCTGTTTTCATGACATTTGCTAAGACTGAGTATTATTTTTAGCTCTCACATCTTAATGCGTACTGTAGTTTGGCACTGGAAGGAAGCATGGAGATTGTTCTCTGATCTTATTCTTGGAATCAGTTAAAAAAAAGCACAGAAAAAATATGGATTCCAATATTTGACTTTAGGGGAGGATTTTCATATCAAAATCCTACTTAAACCACTCTGATTCCCCTGAAGTCTTGACTTAATCATTGCAAATGTATAAAATCATTGGGTTTGTTTTGATTTTCAAGCAGAGGGAAAAAATAATAAGCGGCTTTAAAGTGAGGAGCAATTCAAAATGCACACCGATTATGCAACACACACTTATAGGATTTTGGATAATCCTAGCGAAATCTAATATCTGTTTTATAGTATGTCACAGAACTTGGCCAAGGTCCAAAGAGCTGGACTGGGGAGTTTAACATGCTGCATGTTCGGCAGGCTTTCAAGACGTCTTGGAAGCATCTCTTAGTCCAAAGTACCACTAACTGAGACCGGCTGCAGGGACGGTTCTGTCAGCCATTTTAGCCACCATTTGAAGTGCCAGTGGTGACTTTTAAAGCCTGCACGGTTTGGACCTGAGCAATCTCAAGGACCACCTGCTCCCCCATAGGCACCTACCTAGATGTTATGCCCAACCTCAGTCATCCATCCTCTGGACAAGTTAGGTTGGCAGTGACTGGAAAGCACGTCCTTTTCTGTTGTGGCCCCCTGTAAGTCAAATGAAGCCACCTGAGGTTGCCCTGGCACCTGCGTTGCCACCTTTTGGCTATCAGACCTTCCAGCGTGGCACAGAGCGCACGCTTTGACCCACGCCGGCAAAAGGGTTTGCTGATTTGCTGTCCCTTTTTGAAGAAACGAGTCCTGCGACTCCCAGAATTTCCCAGCTATCATTGCTCCCCTCATGGCTGGAATTACAGGTTGTGTTTCATCTGAATGCAGGTACGTTTGTGCCCCGATTCCATTAATTTGTACTTCTCTTTCTTAGGCAGGAGAAATCCCATCTCTCAACACATCAGGAATTGTTTATAAGTGGGTGGGGGCTGCCACTGGAGAGAAACCGCCCCACTCTCCTTTGCTTCATGGGATGCTGCCCCCTGTATTTTATGGCATAGCACATTTTCCGAAGAAAGTATCCAAAGACTTTTACACCAAAACGCCCTCCTTTCCTTCAAGGGCGTGGCAGCCACATCACGTGTGAATGATGGCGCTGGGCCTGGTCAGCCCCAGCGCTTACCTCTCACTCCCTTTTCCCCACCAGAGTCCGTGGAGATTTTGATGTGAGCACAAACCAACTGATCGGGGCACATGGGTACTGCACGCAGGTAAATAAGGGAGCGCGCTCTGTTTCGGGGTCAAAATGCCTGTACTAGACAATGGGCTAGTTTGCTGAATTTCCCAGAGGGATTCCCCTTCCGTCAGATGATCGGATCAAGGTGGGTGGCAGCATCGTCTCTGCCAGGGTGAAAGCGATCTTTGCCCTGCAGCAGGGACTCCCATGGGGAGACCAGGGGCTGCTCACACGCAGGGGAGAGCGAAACCAGTCTTCGCTTGTGGCGTGACAACTCTGCCCCTGAGAGGATGGGCCGTGGGTTGCCCTTCTGTCGCTCGCTCTGCTCTTCAAGCCGGTAGAGTTAATGCTGAGGGCTCCTCAGAGAGGTGGGCCAGGACTTCTGGGGGGCGATCCCTGGCTCCTCCCCGAGGTTTGCTGATGTGAGTCCCGGTGGACAGGGGCACTGCAGGGAGTAGGTGGAGCTGCTCCAGCTATCGGTGCGCCAGTGACGTAGAAGGAGCCCCAGTTGCTGCACAGGCGGGTGCTGTGAACATACCGTTCTACCACAACATGTCTCCGGGCTATGAATGGAAGCCCTCCGAAAAGTGCTGCCGTGACGTCTCTGCTCAGATGTCGTCAGTCCCAGCCTGTGGCTTCCTTGGTGGAGTCCACCCCTCGTCTGCCTTTGACTTTCCCTAGCGCGGTGGTCTCCCCCAGGGAGCTTGGCCTCCTCAGGAGGTGCCCAACGATCCAGTTCAGGCAAAAAGTGCAGAAAAACATTTGCTCAGTCTCAAAGCACAGACCAACAGATGGCCTAGAATGGGAGTGCAGCAGGAACTAAGGCAGAAACGCCGAGTCTGGCTGTGCGCAGCCCCGCACTGAACGGCCTCCCGGGTTCTCTGAAGGCCTGCAGCCTCCCTGGCGCGGCCAGGTACTCCCTCCCGTCTGCACCGCAGAAAAGCTTCCCCACTTCCCTCCCCCCGGAGCGTTTCTCCTCGGCTCTCCCTCCACACCTGGGCGGATTTTCCAGAAGAGCCTCTTGTTTGCACCTGCTCGCTATCCGGACGCCTCCCGTTCCCGACTCTGAGATGCTTTCTTGCCGATGGCTCCTTGTCTGGGCCTCTGGGCAATTGACCAGTCATTGGGCTTGCTTAAGTGGGGGCGTCGCCATGGGGCGACCCCAGCCGGGCATTTGCCTTCCGGGGGAGCAGCTGGCCGCTAGCCGCAGCTCTGCTTCCAGCGGGGAGCAGGAACCGACCGTAGCACGCAGCTCCCTTCTCCCTTCTCCCTCCTCCTGGTCCTCAGTGAGATGGAGCTAATGCATTCCGGCAGGCTGGGCCGCCCCTGGCCAACCATAACAAGAGCAGTGTGTGGGTCTTGCGGATGGATCGGTAAAAGCGTGAAGGAAGGAACAAGAGACCAAGGCAAGACGGCTGCTCGCCAATTCTGTGTGCCTGAGTTTTGTCCCGACTGAAGATGAGGGGCAAGAGATCAGCCAACAATAAAGGTGTGGGGTTCCCTAAGGGATCCGGAAAGCAACCTGCCTGGTAGCACCCCCGTAAACAGGTTCTGGGGAGCCTTCCCAGGCGGCAGATGGAACCAAGGAGAAGGCGCCAGGTCCTTCCAGAGTGTCGGAGCCAGTGTGGCCTGGAGGCTAGAGTGCTGGACCGGGGACCTGGGAGAGCCGGTTCAGGTCCCCGCCTCCCCCGCCTCAGAGGGTGGGTGCTGTGTAGATAAAAAAGAGTGGGGGATGCCTGTGCCAGCTGCCTCGGTTCCTCGCAAGGGGAAAAACGGTGGGCCAAACCTGCAGTGGGCGAGGATAATGGGAGGCCGAGAGTGGTAGATGCAGAGGATCAAGCTCGTACTCAGGAAAGAAGAGGAGAAACGAATGGGGAGACAAGGCTGGGATGCAGTAAGGTCCAGGGGCCTGTGCGGGAGATGAGGGGGGTGTTGGTGGACCCTCGGGGAGAGTGGCCGGCAGTTGAAATGAGCCTGAGCTGCTGCCGTGGATCCAAAGCTGCAGCCCCTTCCCAGGCGAAGGCCCTGGAGAAGGACAGGCCTGCCCCACCAAAGCCCTTCAGAGATTCTGGCGCCCCTCTGCCCACCCTCATGCCCCTCTCTCCCCTTTGACCCAGGAGCTGGTCAACCTGCTGCTGACGGGCAAGGCCGTGCCCAACGTCTTCAACGACACGATGGAGCTGGATGCCGGGAATGGGAACGTCACCGTCTTAAAAGGCATCGCCAGCCGCAGCGAGATTGGCCTGCTGTCCCTCTTCGAGCACTACAACGTCTGCCAGGTGGGTGCCCAGTGCCACCTTCCGATCCCCACAACCCACCATCCAGTTCTGGAGGTGGACTCCCACTGGGCGTTCCTTGTGCGGGAAGCAGCGCAGAAGCAGGCCGGCTGCATTTCCCCCTCCTGCCCCTTCATTCTTCCCCAGCTTTGCCTGCCCCACTTTCATCTCCTCCTGATTTCTGGTTTCCTTTGGAAAGTTCTGAAGTTGGTCTCCGTTTAGAGCGCAAAGGTTCGCTGCCCCTCTTTTACTGCTGAATTCGCGTATTTTGCATTACGAAGGCTGACATGTCCCTCACCAAAACACCGCTTGATGTGATAATGTCTGTGGATGCACCACGATTAGCCTGGGGTGGTGAACAAGCGCTGTGCGTGGCACTAGTGGAGACACCGTGAAAAAAGCAAAAACCTTCATCTGATGTTCCGGCCAGTTCCAGCAGGACCCAGATGGACCGCTTTGGCCTCATTCTGGTCCCGTTTCTCCCAGATCTCCTTAACAGAGCCGAAATGGCCTCATCTCAGCCAGCAATGAAACGTGAGCCTGTGTTTCCCCTTGAAGGAGCTGTAGCATGTTATTAACACACGGCGTCTGGGGACACGAGACTCTGGATGAGTAGCTTAATCAGTTGCAGAAATCCCAGTGGAGGACATGAGTTTTTGATTAAGAGCATGTGGCCGTCGCTGTACGCTGGAGTTCTTAAGTCACACAGTGCACATGAGACGGGCGGCAAAATGCAAATAAAATTCCAGTGGGTTTAGTTCTTCCAGGACTTAGTTCTGAAGTGGGGGTAGAGGCAGCTGCTGCCTCTCCACTGTCATAACCTAGCGAAGCTCAGTTTGACCCATTTGAGCATAGAAGCATAGAAACAGAGTGAGCCAGAAGGGGCCTTCTGGGTGATCTAGTCTGACCCCCGGCTCCAGCCAGCTCCACTCATGACATGCCCACCATGTGCACGTCCAGCCTATCCTTGAACACCTTCACCGGTGGGGCCTCAATGACCTCTCGTGGAAGCCCATTCCACACCCTCGGGGTCCTGACTGTCAGGAAGTGCTTCCTGGCATCTAAATGGAACCTGGGTTCCCTGAGCTTTGCTCCATTGGAGCACATCCTGCCTTCCTCTGCAGGGGAGAACAGGTCTCTACCCACCTCCATGTGACACCCCCTCACATACCTGTGTGTCGCCAACATACCCCCCTCTGAGTCTCTGCTCCAGGCTGAAGAGACCCAGTTCCCTCAGTCTCGCCTCACACCCCACCCCCTGCAAACCGGCCACCAACCTTGTGGCCCTACGCTGCACTGACTCCAACCTGGCTATATCCTTCCTGTAATGAGGGGCCCAAAACTGAACACGATGCTCCAGCTGTGGGCGCACCAGAGTTACACTGAGTGACAGCAATACCTCTCTCGATCTAGAAGCCACACTTACGGTTATGCAACCAAGGGTGGCATTCGCCCTCTTGACCACCGTGTAACACCGTTGGCTCCTGTTTAGCCTGCAGGTGATCAGCACCCCGAAGTCCCTTTCACAAGTGCTGCTCTCCAGCCACTTGTCTTCTAACCTGTACTTATGACCCCTGTTCCTATGCCCCAGGTGCAAGACTTTGCATTTACCTGCATTGAACACCATCCTGTTATCCCCCACCCACTTCCATAGTCTGTCCAGATGCCACTGTGTCGAAGTCGGCATGGCCAAACAACAATGAACCACATCCTTTGGGATAAGACACACACACCCCTCTTATGCAGGATTTCACTAAGTAGCACTGAATTTTCTTGTGGCCTGGAAAACAGAACTGTGCAAGCAACGTCCATAGTGCCCCAGGCTGATCCTAAATGTAATTTGCAAAGGTCAGAGGGGTGGATTGCTTCAAAGAATGTGCTTCCGTCTTTTAGGAGGATGTGTTGTTGAGGCTGTGGTCCCATAATAGAAGTCGATGGGCAAAGAATTGGGTATGGTGGAAGGTTGTTATTTGGAGTTCCTAAGACTAAGAAGTAGGACAGAAAGAAATCTAATGTGAGTGTCATGGAGAGTGTGAGAACGGTGCATGGGCTTTGGTCTTTAGTTTGGACCGAGGCTTTGGACAGACAGGTTCGGCCTTGTGGTGGCTAAGCGATTTCTGGCTCTCCAGTAAGAATCCTAGAAATTAGTTCCGGTCATTCTGGAGCATGAAAACACACCCTTATCAAGGTACTAGGCCCCACATGGGGCTTCTCTCTCCCTCTTCTTCCTCACGTGTCGTTGCTATTTGCACCTCAGGTGAAGTAACCAGGCACCGAAAAACAAACACGCACATCAGTTTTCGGAATTAACCCTCCTGGCCTGGCTTAATGTAGCAAATTTATTGCTCCTTTCTCTAACCTCCTGTTGGTTCCTGGGCTATCTACTCTCCTCGTTGCCTTTCACGTCTTCTGGTTACTGTCCAGATTTGCAAGTGATTACAGAACAGCTTGGATAATCCTTAGGTTATTTTCAAAGGTGACCTGTTCATGAGTAATGTGATTTATTGCTTCGGCCTCCTTAAGGTAGCCAGCATTCTTGTTTTTCTCTTGCCCTGCCAAGCTCTGCTTCGCAGTTGCTCTCGATCTCCCATCATGTTTTCTCTTTCTCGGGCACTTGGCACGTCCACTTGTGCTCTGGAATGTCTCCGCCATAACTGTGAACTCGCTTTGTTGCTGCGTCTCTTACCTATCCATCCTGTACTGGAGACAAGGTGGAAGGAAGGTGGGGAAACCATTCCAGCCCTTTGAGTCTTGCCAGCAAAATGCCCTGAAAGTTCAGTTCTGTGTACTTATTTTCAGCCAAGAAAGTCTGGCTGGAAGCTTAGCAAAGAGCATTTTACAGGGAATGATAACCATCAAATCTGCATTTTACCAGGACCATTTTACAGCTCTGAAATGGGTACCTTGTTTATGGCCCGTTTAGGTCAGGAGCGGGCAAGAAAGCACAGAAAATGCATCCTTCGGTTTGTTTTCAGCCCTCGACAGCTTCGATTGGAACAGACTTTTGCCAGCACTTGCCAGATATCAAATTAAGAGCAATCCAGCGCTCCTGGCGGCTGCTGCCAGCCTGCTGATTTACTGGCATTGCCTTCTGCTTACTAAAGTGGGGGAGGGAGGCGAATCAAAGCCCCTGGGGCCTTGATTACAAGCAGCGCAACTGGGCAGAGATTCAGCCAAAATACAGGGAAAGCGTGGCTCAAGAACCCAGATCTTGCAGGACGATGCCTGGCCAAAAGCAAGCGATCTCCGGGGAGTGCTTAAGGAGGCAGGACGGTCAGGGGCCCGTAAGCCTCTGAGCATGGAACATTTGGTGCAGGGTGGGCAGGGGGTGGAGGCCATCTCTGCCTTCCTCTTCCTCTCCCCCAGCAAGTCGGCTCCATGGCCAATTTCACAGGTCCATCTGCAGGGCTCTGGAGAAGCTGGACTGTAGCATGGTTACCTTGCATCCCGGTGCCTCTGCTCTCCTCCGCTCTCTACCCTACTGGGAGCCCTGATCCCCCAAGTAAGAGCCCCCGGAGCAAACTCCCTGGGATCTGAGCATCTGAGGAATTCTTTGGCTCCCTTGACAGTATCTTCTTGCCCAGAAGATCACTCAGTGTCTGTGTTCACGCAGCAGGACAAGCAATCCTGCATGGCTACCACGGTTCCGTTTTTTTAACCACGATCCATCTGACGGACAATCAAGCAGCTTCTATTTTATTGCGGTTTCCATGCTCCCTGCTCAGTCCTCCCACCACTGGCATGCATCCCATCATCCACTGCACCCGAAGCCCAATCCCAAGGTGCATCACTCCCGCCTGCATTTTCTGCCTCTTCCTCATTGGTGCACACACAGAGAATGGCTGGCCGGAGCGCACCTGGGTGACCCAGCAGGACCTTTGTTGTGTTCTTATGTGTCCAGACAACACAATGGAAAAACAGCTTTTTTTTCTTTAGAAGCTCATAATTAATGATTAGCCTAATTTGGTGTTGACATCTCTTTTCTTTCATTCCTTTCCAATTCTGTAGAATTGTTGCTTTAAAAGAAGAAGGAAGAATAAGGTGCTTGGATATTGGCACAAGTATTTCCTTATTTTGAGAAAATAAAGCATGGGAAGTCCTTCCGTACTTTATATGTTTTAAAAGGAAACACTTTAAAAGATTTTTTCAAGGTCATTGTAAATGTCATGAAAAGGACTTGTTCTTTCTATTTATAACAAATTGAGAGGGGGAGAGAGAGAGAGAAAGCGCGCGCGCGCACACACGAGTGAGCGCTTTCAGATGTTTTTTCCCATTCCGTTCTGTTCTTTCCTTGTCATGGCTTCCTAAGATTCCAGGCCCAATAATTCATTCACTAGCTTAATTATAATACTAAATTTTATGTCCTAAATTCCATCCTTTCTCTTAATACTATGCTATTTTTCACATGACACTATTATTATCAATATCCTGGCATTATTAATTTCAGTTCTATAGAGCTCTATAGCCAAAGCTCTCTGAAAGTTCGTAAACACAAGTGCAATAGTAACCATGAATGCGAAGGAAAATACAAACACAATAAAACCGAGTTTAAAAAATGCGACATTCAAAATCTAAAAGTTGTCTCCAACTTAAGGCACCCCTTGGATGAGTGCCACCCAAGAGACCGCCCCTGCCATGGCGACCCTGCTCAGCTCTTCTAAAGTCAAGGCTGTGGCTTCTTCGATGGAGTCCAGCCATCTCCTTTTATACCACATAGGTAATCTTTTACGGTTTTAGCTGTTTTGCTTTTTATGCTATTTGTGTTTGTTTTATTTGTTTTTATGGGGTGTGGTAAACTGCATGAAGAGCTTTGGATGTGGGGCAGTATATAAATGAAACAAGTCGTCATCCTCTCAGATTTGGTCTTCCTTTTCTTCTTCTGCCTTCAACTTTCCCTAACTGTATTGTCTTCTCCAGGGCATTTGGCCTTCTCTTGATGTGTCCGGAGCAAGACAGCCTCCGTTTCCTCTTTTCTGCTTCTAGGGAAAGCTCTAGCTGGACCT